TGGACTAGAAGACCTCCAAGGTCCCTTCCAACTCTACGCTGATCGGAGCACTGACCGGAGGTAACAGATCACCGAAGCGGGAAGGGACCTCCTAGGTCATCTAGTCCACCCCCCCCACCCCCACCCCCAGGTTCTGGGGTGTTCCCTGCCATTAACCCTTCTTTTTCCACGGGGGGGGGAGAGGAAGGAAAGGGTGAGATTGCAAACCCCCTCCTCTCTGGAACAGCACCTGCCCCCCACCCACAACCCCCACCCCCGCGAGGTCTGCACACACCCCTCCCCACGCCCCCTCCCCCCACCCCCCCCGGCCTTCAAACCCACAGCTCTGCTTGGTGTTGTTCAGGTTCAGGCGCAGGTTATCCAGGTGTTCTAGGATCTGCTCCAGGGTCAGCTGGGCCAGTTTGCTGCTGGAGCTGCGCAGGCTGAGAGCAGGGGAAATAAAACGGGGGGGGGGGGAGAGGGCGGGCGGTTAGGGGGACCAGGAAGCCTGCCCCCCCCCCTTTCCACCCTCTCCCCCCCTCTCCCTCTTTTCAGACTGATCCCTGCTGGGGGTCAAAAAGGTTTCGGCCATTTCCAGCTTTGATTCTTTCTTTAGGGGTCTGATTTTAGGGGAAGGAAGCGGAAAGGAATAATAAAAAGCCGGAGAAATTCTTGGAAAGAAAGAAAGAAAGAAAAGGAAGGGAACGGAACGGGGGAGAGTGGAAACGGGGCAAAAGGAAGGTCAGAGATAGTTAGGGGGTGAGGCGGAGAGAGGATAGACGCAGACAGGCGACGGGTGAAAGAGAAAGAAAGGAGGGAAGGAAGGGAGAAAAAGAGAGAGAGAAAGGAAGGGAGAGAAAGAAGAAGGAAGGAAGGAAGGAAGGAAGGAAGGAAGGAAGGAAGGAAGGAAGAAAGAAAGAAAGAAAGAAAGAAAGAAAGAAAGAAAGAAAGAAAGAAAGAAAAGAAAGAAAGAAAGAAAGAAAGACAAGGTAAATAGGTAGGTAGGTAGGTATGAAGGAAGGAAGGAGAGAAAGAAAAGAAAGAAGAAAAAAAGAAAGGGAGAGAAGGAAGGAAGGAAGGAAGGAAGGAAGGAAGGAAGGAAGGAAGGAAGGAAGGAAGGAAGGAAGGAAAGAGACAAGGTAAATAGGAAGGAAGGAAGGAAGGAAGAAAAGAAAAAGAAGAAAAAAAGGGAGAAGGTAAATAGGAAGGAAGGAAGGAAAGAAAGAAGAAAAAAGAAAGGGAGAGAAGGTAAATAGGAAGGAAGGAAGGAAGGAAGGAAGGAAGGAGAGGAGGAAAAGGGAGGAAGTTATAAAATCACTTTTAGTAATAAGTAAGTGACAATACTAGAAAGAAAAAGGGAAGGAAAAAAAAAGGCAATTTTTCCCCTACCGGAAAATCAAGATTTACCACTAGATGTCCCTGGTGCTCTTTAAAAATTTAAAATCTTTAAAAATTAAAAGCCAGATTCTAAGTTTAAATTTGATAGAAGGATGAATGGATAGATAGATAGATAGATAGATAGATAGATAGATAGATAGATAGATAGATGATACAGTAGATAGAGATACCTTAAAACAAAACTGATATAAAAGAGAAGTTTAAAATTGGACTGACAGACCGGCTGCCAAGAGACCGAAATAACGGGGGGGGGGGGGGGGGGGCCTGGCTACTTCCCGCCTCACCTCTGGCGCTTCCGGGGGAGGCTGTTGTTCTTGATCAGGAGGGACTTGATGTGCTCGATCAGGTGGTTCTCGTGCTTGAGGCACCAGTGCCGGAGGATGCTGGTGGTGAACTGGTCGTCCGGGTGACACGGCCGGCTCAGCACCATTTTCACCATCTCTTCCGTGGGCCTGCGGGGGAAACCCCCAGCGTTCACGCCTGGTTCCGGGGACCCCCCCCAGCCCCCCCCTCCAACGAGGCAAGCAAAGCGGGGTGGATTTTTTTTGGGGGGGGGACGGGGGGGAAGAATCAAAATAAGAATAATATTGCTAATATAAATAAATAAATAATAAATAAATAATAATAAAATAAATAATAAAATAACAAATATTAAACAATAATAAATAAATAATAAATAATAAATATTAAACAATAAATAAATAATCAATAACAATAAATATTAAACAATAACAAATACTTAATAATAAAATAAATAATAATAGTAATAATAATAATAATTAATAAATAAATATTAAACAATAAATAAATATTAAATAAAAAACAAAAAATAAAAAATAAATCAATAATAAAAAATAATAAATATTAAACAATAATAAACCAATAAATAAATACTTAATAATAAAATAAATAACTAAATAAATGATAATAAATAAATAATAAATATTAAACAATAATAAATATTAAATAATAAATCAATAATAAAAAAAGTAGATATTAAAAAATAAATAAATAATAAATCAATAATAATAAAATAAATAATAAAAAATAAAAACAATACTTAATAAAATAAATAATAAATAAATAATAAATAATAATAAATAAATAATAATAAAGACTTAATAATGGTAATCATCATCATCATCTCTTTTAGTAAAGTTTTTCCACCTTTTTCAGTGACGCTGTAACTTCAGTCACTAAACGAACCATTTTGTAAGTCGAGCTGTGCTTATTATAGAAGAAAAACTCTCTATTCCGTTAGGGGAAAAAAAACGGATTATTTCCCACTTGTTTCTCTCCGGCTACAAGGAAGAACGAAGGCAAAGAATTCGAAATACGTACTTTTCCCTCCTCAGTTGCAGGAGCAAGCAGGAAAGAGCCTCCGGGTGTTCTACAAGGGGGGGCGAAAAAAGCAATTTATTTTTTTATTTAGGAAAAAAAGCTCATTTTTTTCCCCTCATTTTTGAATCCAAGCACAGGCCAAAGTCAGAGCTGTGAAAATATTTTATTATTATTTTTTTCTGGCTGAGAGGGAAATGAATTAAAAATATAAAACCTGCCTGCAGAAAAACAACAGGAAAGAGGAACAGAGTTAAATCACTGGAGACCTTCAAGAAGAGACTGGACTGCCCTTGGTCACAAATGGCGCAGGCTCTCTCGCTTGGGCGGGGGGGGGTTGGACTAGATGACCTACAAGGTCCCTTCCGACTCTTGATTATCTGTTACCTTAAATCCTTGAGAGTTTCGGTCGCAAGTCGAGAAGGGCATCCGATGACTTTTATTTTTGCAAACGCCGCCGTCATTAAGTAAATCCAATTTTCCCCCCAAGGGGTTTGATGGTTATTATTATTTGGGTGGGGGGAAGGGGGCGGGTTGCAGAAATTGGAACCCAACAATAGAAACTATCAAAAAAAGATGGCAAATTTAAATTTTTTTTTGTTTTGAAAGTTTTGGAAGTTTGGCTCAAGACTCATGATTTCATCGGGGGTTAACGGCCAGAATCCGGACACCGAGGGGGGTTCTTAGAGAGGCCCGTCGCAACTTTGAACCGACGTTAAGTGACTCCATCGTAAGTTCGAGACCCGCCCTGCATTTCTCTACCAGGGGGGCGGGGGGGAAGAGAGTTTTTTGGGGGGGAAAACAAAGCCACAACTTTGTGCGTTAAGGAAGCCGTTGCTTACACACACACACACACACACACACACACCTTTGCCGGGGCTGGAGATTGGCGGCCCACCTAAGGGACTCCTCACCTTTGTACTTGAGGTGCTGGAGGATGGGGATGATGGTTTCTAGGGGAATGTTGTGCGCCAGAAAAAGCTGCCAGGTGCAATACTGCTCAAACGTCTCCCATTCCAAACTCTGAACTGGAGAGAAAAGAAGGAAATACCACACCACAAACACACACACACACAAAAAAACAGAAAGGAAAAGAGTTGATAAAGACACAATTCAACACAAAATACCACAATCCTCCCACCGCCCCGCCCCCCCCGCAGGTTGACCCAGCCTCTCTAGGCTTCCTGGGCCAAGGAGGGACCGCAGAGGATTCTGGGAGTTGAAGTCGACAAGTTGTTGTGGTCCGCGAGGACGGCAGCGGGGTCAGACAGCGGGGAGGATCACGGGCCAGTCCGGGAGTCTGGGGAGGGCTCGGACGAGGGTCCTGCGTCCGATGCAGTGATGGGCCCGGGGACCCCTGGGAGTTATGTGCCGACTCCGGAGCCTCCAAAAATCTGACAGCAGCGAGGCAGAGGAGTAGCGGGAGCCTGTTCCCAGGGCGCGCACGCACAGAGCTGCCAGAAGGCAAGGACGGTTAAGACGAAAGGGGCGACTCCGAAGTAAGACTTGGAAGGGATTGGCCCTCGATGAGACGTCAAGGAAGAGCAAAGGGACAGGAGCCTTTGCAGGAAGCAACTTTGTCCGTACGGGTCGGCTTGAAACCTGAACCTCCATGTTGAATTTGTGCTCCGTTTGGGCCTCGTATAACTAACTAATTGGCAATTTGGGCAGCATTTCAAGGAAGATCCGGCCACTTGGAAGGCAGCGGGGGGCGGGGGGGAGAGAAAGCCAATGTCATTCGGGGGCGGCCGCCATTCACTCACTCAGAATATTAAGGACCGAATCTTTCCGGAACATCACCAAATTCCCCATCATGACGTGACAAACCAGCTCCTGGAGCTGTAAGAAGGAGAAACGGGGGGGGGGGAAATGGGGGGAGGAGGGAAATTGCACCAGGGTTAGTGACAAGGAAGCCAAGCCAGGATGGGTTTTGTAGTTCTTATTTTTATTTTTTTAAATCAACAGCCTGGTCTTCCTCCATTCGACTCCATCCTCCCTGCCTGGTTTGGGTCTCTCTCTCTCTCTTTCTCTCTCTCTCTCTCTCTCTTTCTCTCTGTTTCTCTCTCTTCCTCTCTCTTTCTCTCTCTCTCTCTCCCTCTTTCTCTTTCTCTCTCTCTCTTTCTCTC